CTGTAACCCCTGCAGAGCAGGGTGAGCAGCCGTGAGAAGGAAAAAAAAAAAAGAGAAAACTGGGAAAGGAGGGGAGCTCGCGCAGCTCGTGTTTGAGCACGGGATGGGTGCTGGGGCAGGCAAACAAGTGGGAACAGACATGTTGATAGACGGGACTGAGGGGTTGTGGGATGTTTTGAAACTGGTGAAGGAGGAATGTCGGACAAAGGTGGGAGAAGTGGGTTCTTCTCCTATGGGACCGGATCGGTGTGTGTGTGCTGTGGAGAGTTTTGGACGTTGGAAGTGAGACTGCCCTGGGGGGAGAGTGCCATGGAGTGACTCTGGTGGCTGAATTGAAACTAGACTGACAAGGGACCTGGGGAATCTACCCTAGTAGATCCACTGGTTAAATTAAAACTAGAGACCAGAGGAAATAAGGTGGAATTTTAGTGGATACAGGAGCAACTTATTAGGCGTTAATTCAGAGGGAAAAGAATTTGTTACAGATGTGGGAGCTACTGGCCACCAAGGATAACAAAAAAAAAAAACAAAAAAACCAAAAAAAACCAAAAAAAGGAATAAAGCAAATTGGAAAAACAAATAAGAATGCATAAAATTTTTATGCATACTAAATTCTTGGAAATCCTTATTAGGACAAGAAGCAACATTTAAAGAAGGCAAAATGGAATTAAAAGAGTTGAGTTTATCTTTAATTCAACAGAAAAAGCGAACAGGAGGACCTCCCTGAAATAGAAGAAATCCTTAATCCAGGTATATCTGGGAATATGGACATCTGAAGTTCCAGGTAAAGCGAAAAATGCTTTACCTGTTAAAGTAGAAATAAAAAGGGGGCCCTGCCCAATTAGAATAAAACAATAGCCCCTAAAATTGCAGGAAAGGGAATGAAAAAATCATTCATAAATTTTAAAATATAAATTCTTAATTGAATGTGAATTGGAATATAATACTCCTATCTTGCCAGTAAAGAAAAGTTGCAGATTGGTTCAAGATCTCAGGAATCAACAAATTTGCAGAGGATATTCAGTAATAGCTAATCCGTGTTGACTAAATCGAATCAAAAATGATTTGCCGTCTTGGATTTAAAGGACTCTTTCTTTTGCTTACCATTGGCCAAAGAAAACCAGAATTTATTTGCTTTTGAATGGGAACATCCTGACACAGTAAGGAAAACCCAATTAACTTGAAAGGGTTTAAAACAGTCCAACAATTTTTGGAAACCAGTTAGCACGGGATTAGAGTCATGGAAACCACCCACTCAGACGGGGACTCTGTTACAATATGTGGATGACTTATTAATTGCTACTGAAACAAACGAAGAATGTATCCAGTGGACGGTGGGATTATTGAATTTTCTGGGACTGAATGGTTATTGGGTAACCAGACAAAAGGCCCAACTAATCCAAACCTGAGTTTCCTACCTAGGATGACAGAGAAAACTTGGAACTGCTAGAAAAGAAGCCATTTGTCAAGCTCCATGACTGTCAACCATCAAGGAGCTCCACGTTAAAAGAAACCCCTCTCTCTTTGGAATGGACTGATTCAGCAGAGGAGGGCTTTAGAAATTTAAAAGCAGAGCTAATGAGAGCTGCAGCTCTGACTTCTGGATGTGACTAAATCCTTTTGGCTATATTCCTATGAAGAACAGGGAATAGCTTTGGTGGTCCTTACTCAGAAACTAGGACCCTGGAAGAGAACAGTGGTGTATTTTTCAAAACAGCTGAATGAAGCAAGCAAAGGATGGCCCGGATGCCTAAGAGCTGTGGCAGCAGTTATCATGAATGTTGAAGAGGCCCGCATATTTACCTTGGGACAAAAATTACTGTACTAGTGTCCTGTGTTGTATCAGCATTCCTGGAACAGAAAGAAGCCCACTGGTTCAATCCAGCAACTATTAGACAGATTTGAAAGACTGATTCTAAATAAGCATTTGGTGTGGTCCATGCACACGGTGCCATGTGGAAAGAACGAGGACCTTTGAACACACAGGATAAACGACTACTGAAAGCTGTTCAGCTACCTGAGGAAGTAGCTATTATGTATTGTCAAGGATATCAACAAGGTGAAATTTGGCTGAAACTCATTCCCTTAATCCCTGACGGCAAACTAACAATTGAGAAATCTAAACCTAGAAAATCAAAGGAGGATAGAAAATGTATTGAAGATCTCAGAGGAGGAGAGGAAAACAAAGAAGATTGGGTTCAGATACCTGATGGGCGAATTATAATCCCCTATAACCAACTCTGGATGCTAGTTCAGGAGGAACATAATAAAACTCATCGAGATAGCAAGTCTTTGTATAAATACTTAGATGAACAAATTGAAGGAAGGAATCTATATATCATAGTTCAATTAGACAAATAAATTTTTACCAATATTTGGTGTTAATGAAATACTTTTTTAGGGTGGCCAGAAGCATTCCCTTGTAGGTTTTGGAGTACCAGAGGCACTTTCTTCTGACCAAGGCTCGCCCTTTAGTGCAAAATAGTTACAAGGGCAACTACTAAACCTCGGTCGAAAGAAGAGGCTATCCTATGTAAAAATTTTATATGGAAGACCGTATCAGTCCCAGTTTAAAGGAGAAAGTCTTCTGGAAGTGGGAGAAGGTTATCTCCTAAAATTTCTGGTCAATCTGGGAAAACAATTAGAAGAAATAAGAGAATACTAAGGACAAGAGTGAGAGGCATGGATTACCCGACTCACCCTTTTAGATCCAGAGACTGGGTTTATGTTAAGAATTTTTCAGGAGATCCTCTACAGGAGAAGTGGAGCGGACTGTATCAGACAATATTGGCCACCTTTACAGCAGTGAAGATGAAGGAACAACCTGCTTGCAAGAATAAAGAAAGCACCAGAACCAGAGAAGACATGGCGGATTGAACCTTCAGGACCCTCGCATATGAAATTATATCAGTCATAATTTGGATTTATGTGATAACTGACATACCATCTTGGGACTAATACCTGAAATTAATATAGAATGTTACTAAAGTTGTTAATTGTAGTGACTGTTAGGTGTGTGCACAGTTGCCTGAATCAGAAGAAGATCAGGGCCTTCCTGAAACAGATAAGAAATGAAATTTAAATATGTATTACACCAGGAACCAGAATAGGAGACTAAATACCACAGGTGTAAAATATTGATTACTTGTGGTATAACAAAATTTTCTTCCTGGAATTGTAAACGATCTATGATAAATGATGAAAATTGAAAAAGAAATGAAATTTAAGTATCAAATAGAAACAAGAAACTATTTCAAAAAGACTCTAGATGAAAATATGTTGCAAAAGAATTTGCAAAAGGACAGAAAAAAGGGGTATAGACATTTGTGAATACTAACAGACACCTTTTCAGGTTGACCAGAAGCCTTCCAACTAGAAGCACACAAGCCCGGGAGGTAACAAAGATTGTTATAGGATGGTCCTGGGGATTTCAAAAGTATGTGCTGCATGAACTTATCTGACCATTCTGAATCAATTCATGCTAAACTGCGAAAATTGCAGGAAAATATGCAAGAGCTTAGAATTATTGGAGGCGGATTGGATGAATGGTTAAATAACCTAGGAGTTACTGGATGGTTCAGGGACATAATGAAACAAGGCCTTTTAATCTTGGCTATAGGACTACTCATTTTAATGACTGTACCTTGTATAATACAGTGTATATCAAAATAACTTCATAAATCGATAGAAGGAACATGGATAGCTCTGTCATGAATAATAGAGTAAAAGAATTTACTAACTCTATAGAAAAAGGGGGGATTGATACAGAGAGTTGACCAATGTACAGGGGGGTTGTACAAGGGGGTTAGAGGAATTTGCTTGCTTAAACAAAAGTATTGTCTGTTGTAAATGCCTGCTAAGCAGAACAAAGGCACCTGGTCCTATTGATAAGGAAAAGCAGACACTTGGTCCTATTGATAAGCAGCTATTGATAAGGAAATGCAGACACTTGATCCTATTGATAAGCAGCTATTGATAAGGAACTGATAAGGGGGAGATGCAGATGGTTTATGGCTGGGATACCGACCAAACCCTAAGGCCATATGTGAAGACTGAAAGGTGAAAAGTGCAAGAAGAGGAAGACTCATTTACTTCATCTTGAAGACCCCTACCCACAGGAGGAAGACTCAGTTACTTCATCTTGAGACCCCTGCCCATGACCAGAGGGGGCACTGCACAGGTGCAGAGGACCTTCTGGCTCATTATAATACGAAGCGGGGATAGGACATGAATATGTCTAGGCGTGTTGTGCAACCTTATGAATATATCTAACTTTAGAGAATAAATGTAGAGGGAAACAACACTGAGGCACGCATGACTTTGAGGAATCATCCCTGTGCGTTTCAGCGCTGAATAAAAAGCATACCTACTTTACAACTTTAATGAGTTGTGGAGTCAATCCGCTCATCAATGTCAACTTATAGAAATAACAATTTCTTCTCCCACTCCCACTTGAGGTTACCATGCAGTATTAACCGGATATGTAGAGATGAAGAAAAGCAACTAAGAGACACCTTAAAGCATACACAGAGCCCCCAGTCATGAGCCTCATTAAATGTTGTTATGCTTTGCCTAGATAAACCTTTCAATAGTTTTAACACATATTGGTCATTCCATTCAAGAAGACTGATAAATACACTATGAAAGCTACTGAAGCTTTAAAAATAAATACAAGATTCAATCAGTGCTCTGCACAGCATTGTCATTATGGTTTATTTCCTATTTAAAGAGGTCACTGAAAAACCACAAGCAGTTGAAAAGACTCCTGAAACTTCTCCTACAGAGCAAGCACATACATCTGGATATGCTCTTATACTTCAGCTCTTTTGGTATTCTTCAGAATAACTTAAATGATAGCCAGCATGGAAATGTTATATCCTGACAAAGTAACTGCATGTTTAATGACCAAGAATAAATAAAAACGAGAGGCACAGAGAGAGCAATACTTAAGCAATCAACATTTTCATGAGATAAACACATATGAAAGCTAGTACCATTACCTGGAATATTATATTGATAGTAATCAGGATCATCTGGTTCCTCCTTCACTGTTACTGTTGACACTTCCAGAGAAATTCCTGTAGAAGCAAGAAAGGAATCAAATATGGAAACTAATTATAACCAGGTTCTTAAAAAAACAAACAAAACACCCACCAAGATCCTACCTGGTCTCTATTCAAAAAAAGAAAAGAAAAGTAAAGATCAGGTGCTGAGACACCAAACAACTGTTGAGCTAAACCAAAGGTGACCAAGTGACCTGCTGGTTTATTATGTTTCAGTTTGGTCACTGTCAAACGGATTCAGGATTAAATGCTTCCGTACAAAGTAGGAATCCTTGCAAATGCTATCTCTGATCAGATATGTTTTATCACTTGTGCTAAAAGTACTTGTAGACCTAACTCCTGCTCACTGCTCTCCACAGCCAAGTTGGGATACATCCTGCCTCAAACTGTGCTGCTGATGGAGCAACACCAAAAGTGCTAAACTGCTCTTGGCTTCCTTCAAGTGAAACATCCCCTCCATAAGCCTTCACAACATTCCCTAAACGCTTTTAAAACATTCCAACAAAAGGAGAATTACTTAAAATGCCCGGAAGCAGCACTGGAAAGAGTCTGGGACTGCCTTGACAAAAGGCTCAAGTTAACTCTTTGTGTATGTTAACTATGGAGGTTTCCCAAATCACAAGTTGTGAAGCACAAAGAAGCAAAGAAATGGACTAAACATAAAAACTTCATTCTTATACAAAACACTGAGCAGTGTGGCCTGACCCAACAAAAGGAAAAGTCACCAGCTTATCTCAAAGCACACCTGTGTCTCTTTGGCTTTAATGGAATTATTCACACCCTTACCTCAAAGCAGACACTTAAGCATTGCTCCACTGTGGATGACAATGCCTGCAGGATCATGTCTTAACTGCAGGAAACTTAGGAATGCTTGGGCTTTTCTCAAGAATAACTAACCTGGTTTGCTATCTCTCTTACTTGTTCATTTCCCTTTTAGAAAGAAAAAGGAAATTCTGTAATTTTCAACATTTTAGTAATATTAACAACTAAACCAAGTTTTTATCCCCCAATTAGGGACAAAGTAATCTTGAATTAGAACAAAGTAAAACCTGTGATTTCCTTCTTCTCCACTTTAAACTATTTACAAAGATAAATTGGTTTAGTCCACAAAATTTTACAGATCTCCCTCTTCTAGAAATGGAAACATTTGGCCAAGGCTCAATGCTTGATAAAACTCCAACTGAAAAGTGGACAATTTTAAGGAAAGTTTTTCCTTCTCACAAATGATGGCTCTTTGCTGCTCTTTTCTTAAAGCTTCCTATATTTACTTAACTTCAGCCTTCTGAACAGAAACTGACCATTTTTTGGAAAACAAGAGCAGATTGTTGAACATACCTGAGTCCTCGTTCGGTTCTGTCTTCACTTTAACAGGAGTACAACTAAAAAAATACACAAAGCAAGCACACTGACATTATAAAAACATTCTGGGAAGTTCCTCAAGCTTTACAGGTTGTCAAGTAAAATCAATCTCCCAGTACTTTTTTTTTTTTCCAACTAGGAACACAAAAGTAAGAAATCCTGCATTTTGGCTTATCTGATTTATCTCAAGGGAATTGTCCCAGAAATGCAGGGATAGGACATTCCTGGCATATACGACATTCAAAGCACATTTACCATTTAATGAGAAGCAAACTCAGCAGCAGAGCAAACTGATCCCTGTTTTCACATTAACCGATTTTTGATTTATTTCAGACATAATCTACCCATTTACTAACAAAAAAAATTATTTTACGGCTTTTCTTTTACTGAGGAAGAGGAAGGAAACAACATTACATCTGTTCCCCATTGCTGCCATAGCATAAAACATGACAAACTTATCCCTCACTGACAGACTGTGAATTAAGAACACTCACTGGGCTAATTAAACCAAAAGGAAACTTTGCCATCTGTTTAATTTGTAACAGTTTCCCCACAAATAATGGTCAAAAGAAAGAGAAAACTCAGATTCGTGCTTTTTATAACCGCAGGCAAGCAGAAGTTATCCAAAGGTCAGCTGGACAGAAAAAGCATGTTAAGAGAAAGAAATTGCATGAAAATACATAGCTGATACAAAAAACCTCCATGATTTTAAATTCACCTTCCACCTGGAGGTATAATTGATTGTGATGGATCTGTCATAGCAGCTCCTGAAAGTTAAAAGACAATCTTTGAATTTCCTGCACTCCATTTACCTTAAATACAAATTGAAAATGTAACACTGATTTCATGAAATGAAAACCTGTTCACACTTCACAAGCGTATCTGCTTCTTTTCTGTATTCACAGATACGAGGGAAGGATCTCGTTAAACTGCTTTATTAATCTATAAAGCAACACCAATATAAAGTTACTTCAAATGTACATTTCATGCTTTTCCCTGGTCCTTTTCATGATGGCAGGTGAAAATTCGGGGAAAAAAGGTAAACAAATCTTTCACCTAAACTGTGCTAAAGCAGGTAGTTCAATAGAGATTCAGCATAGCTCTAAATTACAGCTAGACACAAACAGCTCATGCTTCTAGAATGTCATTTAACCCACTGAAAACCTGTCCTGCATTTTTAATAGAAATATAACCAGATTCTCTGTGATTACACACTTTTTATTCTTTTTACTGGGCATAGACAACACATATCTAATTTTACTAATCCAGCATCAGTTTCTGGTTGTGTCTCCCAAGACATTGCTTTTTGACTACATTCCTATTGAGACTCCTTCATCCTCTTCATAAAACAAATTCTTACATGTACAAATTTTGCAAGTAAACAACATGATCCCATGAAAGGAACAGGGATTTCTTCTAAGCTAGGAGTGAATCTTTGTGCAATTTTAAAACACTCTAGCTCAATTTTTCTCATCTATAGAGGCTTTCATAGGAACTACACCACCTAGCTACTTCAGAATATCAGATCAATGTTTAAAATGAGATATAAATGCCAAAATCAGCTCTGCATAGGAACACAGAACACTGCAAAGTCTTGGCATCTTCTAAAAATGCAATACAGTCCTTCATCAGTTCACTTCTTTCCCTAGGATACTATCCAATCCACATAAATTCAAATTCAGTAAAAGAATGAAGAATGCAATAGACAAAGTTTATCTCTAATTAATTGCTCCTGGCAAAACACATAAAGGAAAAGGTTCTAGTTCCATAAGGAAGGCATTTCACACTCCAGAATTTCTGCACAGCTTGCCACTTTATCCACACAACTAATTCTTGTATCTATACTGCTATCTAACCTAAAATTCTGATTTCTATTTAGTCTGAGTAAGTAATAACTTACCTAGGTGTTTCTCTGGCTCTAGGAAAGGCCTGCGTGGAAATACAGAAAGAAAACCCACAGTTTTAGCAAAGACATCATAACTTACTTGGTAGTGTAACATTAATGAGAGAGCGCTCCTGTTTAAGAGAAACAAGCTGCAACTTATTTCATTAAAAACTAAAATTAATTGGACTTAAGTACAAAACCAGAATGGACAGACTAGCACAAGATAGAGAAAATAACCTTTTAATGACAAATGAGATCCCTGACTTGTTTTCCAAAATCCATTTGAGGGTTGAAACACTGTAATTTGCTGGATGTTTAAATGCAAGTCCTTCAGGCAGGCCCTGCACTACCACAGCAGACTGGTCCCTCTGAATCTTCTCATATGGCACAGGTACCACCGTTGACTTTCCTAAAGCTTTACCTAGAGAATAAAAAGAGATTGTACTGAGGTCAAGAGTGTTCAAACTGGGAAAAGGATAAGACCCTCATAAAACTTTTTTACTTGGAGAGGTCTTGAGGAAAAGCAAAGTGTAGATGCAAATCTCTACAGGAAACCAAGTACTGCTCACATTAATATGCACTGGAACCCACTACGATAGAGGCTTTCCTGAAAGGAAATTTAATGGGTTGTACAATACCTTCACATCTCACCATGCAAACCACATCAAGAAAATTATGCAATGTATTGGTATGTTTTAGAATAGGGTACTAAAAGTTACAATTACCACCTTAACAGCACTGTAGTTGGAAGGCTAAGATCATGCAGTACTTTCCTCCCAACCGGAATAAAAGTTAGAAATCCAGGACATCTGTTTGGAAGACTCTGAAGCACCCACCATAGCAAAGGCAGAAAAAGTCCTCCACAGACTTCCTGAGAGCTTCGAGTTCCACAGTATCCACTGGCAGTCTATTTATAGGTGGTATAGTCTTTGTTTCCTGCAATTCTGCAGCTCTCTCCTCTTCTGTAACACCTAGCAGTTAGTTATAAAAATAAGACAAAAATAAAGTAAGTTATTAAACCTCCCAGTACCCAGTCCCTCCAGTTTAGAGTAGTAACACTAGGGCAGGATCCCTGCCAAAAAAATCATAAGAAATCACTCGTCTTAGAAGCAAATGCACTTATATCTGTACATGAACAATGAATAAATTAAAATTTACCCTAAAATCATTACATCCTCCTTACAGCCTTCAGAAATATCACCCTCTGAGGTGTAAGAATGATGAATTAAGAGACATCCAAGCAGGGATTTTTTGGGGCATGAAGAGGTAGCAAACTATTAATTTCAGTATAAATAAAACGCAAAGCTGCCAAGAGAAGTAGGACTAACACAATCACCAGGGAAAAGGTTAAAATGCCTGCATAGAGGGTCCCATAGCTCTAAAGTGCTACCCATGATGCCCTATTGCAGCATGTTACGTTACATCCTGGTTTGTTTATGCTGTATGTACTTAGCTGAGAAGGAATCTGACTTGTCATAACAACTCCTACCTTTCAAAGACATTTCAAATACACATCTCATTAGTGAATAGGAGAAGTTGTAAACAAGACACCAGCACACAGAACAGAGAAGATTTCAGCCCTAGACCTTGTTATAGTCTCTGGGCAAAAGTCATTGCCAAAAGACCGATGGAATAACACTTTCAGTATTTAAAAGCAAATGGAAGTGATCTTTTCAGGTGACAGCCTTCCTTTCTTACCACTCAGTTCTTGCCAAGATTTACTGTGAATCACCCAGCAAAAATGGGGGAAAACAACAGACACTCTCCATATGAAAGAAAAAGCATGGGAGATCTGTGTTCCTATGTGCAAGAGGATGATCGGTGCTGAAGCTGTGTCATGACTTAACCGTGAGCAGTCACAGCAGTACGGCTGAAACACTGCTTTGCACTGCCAGTATTGTCACTTTACACTAACACAAGAAAACAAACATCTGTTTAAACAACTGATTATAAATGAGTTGTGAAATGAGCTGAAACACCACTGCTTTTACTAAAGACATTTATAATCTTAAAAACTGGGATTTTTATGCTTAAAAAAGAATCTCTCTTTCGCTCTACAAATCACATGTCCGCTTCCTGCACTGGAATCCAACCTCCACACAACATTCAGCTCTCCAGCTCTTCAGCCTGACACTTTTGCTTCCTCTGCAATCTGACAGGGCGTACCATAACAAAAACAATACTGCAAAACTGGAATGTTATTATACACCTATAACATAGGTGTATAATTAATGACAGCTTATAAAGTTTGCCTGAAGACCTGGGGATAAGAGACATCAGTTTCCATTCATAGCCACATGCAATGTTGCTTTTTGGGTGGGGTTTTTTTTCTACCTATGAGACTGATTCATTGAAAACGCCTTTACTGACTGTAGCTTCTCAAAAGCATACCCACACTTTCTAAATATAAGCAAAACAAAAATGATGACACTGCTCACTTCCCATTAAAATGAGAACTAGACAAAAAGACATTGAAATTTTCCTTCTTAACTCTTATCGTTGGGTTTCATTACGTGTTTTGAACCCATTTTCTTAAGCTCACATCATGCATCCGCCTCCCTAATCTCTCCCACTTTTGACAGAGTTTCTGACAAACAAGACTAAGTCTCAAACACAGTAAGATTTATGACAGCTCTGCAAAACTGATCAGACCCAGCAGCCATTCATCTCCTCTGGCAGCATCAATGGACACATCTCCACTTGCTGGAGCTTACAAACCTTACAGGTTCTGACCAAGCCCTTGCCACAACTACCAGAGCACCCAGGAGGATTCAGGCTATATTTGGGAGGGAATGCCTGGGACATGTGCAATAAGACCTGTTGGGAAAGAGGGATGGGGGCTGTTTTTACAAGATAAATAGCTCAGGAAGGGTAAGGAATGTTTATATCAGAAAAGAATTGCTTTCTACACAGCTGAGAGCATACTGCAGGATTAGACCTGTTACTCTGCAAAAGCTATTCCAGATTCAGCATGGTTAAAGATGACCCAGCTCCTAACAACAATCTTCATTTTGCACTCAAGAGTCCATATATGATTCAGTGCCTCTTACCTTCTTGTACCATCCATGTTTTGGTTATTCAGAACACCCTTCCCTCTTATCTACCCTGATCAGCAGCAGACCGGGTTTGACAGCCCAGCCTATCACTTGGCTGGAAAAGGAATCTCCCAGCTACCACCATCCTTATAAAATGGAAATACTATAAAATGAATAGGCTGCTTTAAAGTAAAAGTGCCTCTTACAAAAATTCTTATGACTGAACAAAAAAGGAAATACCTGAAATGATCAAATTTGAACTTGGCAATTTTTTCCTGTTGTATGGCAGCAATTAGATAGCTACACCCTGGCCTCCAGAGGGGTAGACGGTATAGCTTCCTGCTTTAAATAGATGCTGTTATGCTTATAAAATGATAAAAGAGTGTTACAGCTCAGCAGTGTTATACAACATGTATTCTAAAGCATGGCCTAAGTGCTATTTTGGCAGACTAGAGGCCATAAAGCACATCTGTATTCACAGGACCCAACCCAGAGGTGAGAGGAATGCCGCTGCATGGAGGAGGCAGACAATTGACAAAATCAGCACTATCTGCATGTCACCAAAGAGTAAGACACAAAAATCAAGCTTTAGCAGAGACACAGTTTACTTGAGTGAAATTTCCTCAAAAATGTCACTTGAAGAGGAGATGCTACACAAACAACAACAGAGAAAAGCTGGTAGCATTCAGTATCTGAAGGTGATGGAGCTCAACACTCCTCTAGCAGAAGAGCTGTCAGTGCCACGGTACATACGGCATGTTAAAACAACAGGTTATTAATCAGGTGGTTTGGCTTTTAATCCCCCAGGTGGAGAAAGCCACGAAGTGATTGTAAGAGTATGAATGTCACCCCTGTGCAGACACTCTGAGAGGCAACTTAAGGGCAACAATTATTTTGTGACACCACTCATGTACCTACATTTTACCATTTGTGCTTAAGGAAAATTACTCTGTGAAAATAACTATGAGCAATGAAAGAGGGAAGTAAACGTGTGTAGCTAAAAGCTGTTTGATTTGTTTTGCAATGCATCCACCCAGCTCATCTGTGAGCTTTTTAAGGCCATCCAGTTTTGCAGTTCAGGAAATTAGACAATAACTTCAAATTAAAGAGAAATCATTTCAGGATTATCAAAGGATCACTTAAACCACAAGAAAAGCAAATCACCTGAGGCAGAATTTAGAAACCAGGGAATTTCAAACAGATCAGCTATCTACTGTAATTTTCTGTCTGTTTTCAACTCTGATGAGACGAGATGGGTGGTCTCCACTGAAATGTGACTGAACTTACTAAGAAAGTTTTTTAAACTAGCTCTTAGCAGGATGGAAGCAAAGGAAGCACCCCTCAGGAAGAGAGGCATAAAGTGAGCTTCTAAAACACTTTAAAAATAACTTGTGTCTAATTGTGTAACAGAGGTTTTGAAAATGAATCTTTCTTTTCATTTTGAGAACTTGGGAAAAGGAAGAACAATAGTAGAAAAGCAAAGGATGAGTATAGCAGGCCACAAGGTAAAGCTAAACGACATTTCCAAGTCTTTCATGAAGATCTAGGCTGTTAATGTGGGGTTCAGCTAATGAACATGTGTTTGAGAATACATATAAATACATAACATTCATATATATATACATATGAATACATAATGAACACTGTGAGAAATGCAACATGGGACAGCTCAAACCCTACATTATTTGCATTTCAAAAGGTCAGGCAGAAGAGGACTGGTAAGATGGACTAAGTGAGCTCAGACGGAAACAGCAATGGCAAACAAAGAAGCAGCTCTTATAGCAAGACAGACAGGGATGATTGCTCTGGGTTTTAGAGTTATTACTTGCAACTGCAACCGCTAGGCAAGTGCTAGGAATGCTATCTTTGAACTAATTCCTATGCATGCGATTTATCAAGAATAAACTGATCACGTCTTCAAAGGTAGATGCTTTAACTCATAACTACATTCTGCAAATACAAAATAGACAGTGACTGAAACCAAAATGTTAAATCAAAAAAGCTTTTCGCAATGCCAAGAATGAACACATTAGGTACTTTATCAAGCAGTTACAACCACAACAGATAAACTCCCCCAAAAGCTAGAGGTGGGGCAGAAACAGATGCAAAATATGAACTAGTGCTTCCAATAAACAGAGTACAGTGTAAATACTTCAAGAGACTGGGAAAGCAGAAGCCCAGAGTGCTGGGGGCAGTCACAATGACTGCTGGGGGCAGTCATAAAGTGTCCTCGCTTTCTAGGAAGAACATCTGAAGCTTCATGCTTTTTATTAAATAAACAAAGATATTCCATAAACTTTAGCAATCAGAACACTACAGGCATCTTTGTAGCATCCTTGGAGATGGGGACTCCCAGAACCAACTCACAATGCAAGGTTTTACAGTGGCACAGGGGTCTGGGCCCAACTGCAGAAGACCATTTTGCACAGAGGGATGCAGAACAGGAAAGGAGATACACAAGAAGCCAGCTGTTGCCATGTCCACAACTCTCCCAAGCAAAAATGTTATAAAACTGCTGCTTAATTAAGCCCAGGCAGAGCCAGCCAGGTAATCATTAACACCTCACTGAACAGGCATGATGCAACCTGGCTCACAGAATGCACTCATGTGATCCCTTCCACTAGCAGAGAGGCAAGGTCTTAACTCCCAAGTGACAGACACAGGAGTTAAAACCTTGTTAAACATCATGTTTGCCAGCATAATTAGTCTGAGAAAAGGTGATGGGCTACAGTCAGTGTAGCCAGCAGCAACCTCTTCTGTTCTTACAATATGGAGAAGTACAAGATATTCCAAGTCATCTGCGCAAAAAGGGAGGTGAAAACTCAGAAACATAACTGAGAGCCACAGCTGAGCTAGTTCCCATGAAGGTGACTAGGAAGAACCTGTTCCAGCAGATACTGAAACAGAATTTAGCAGAGGTTGTTTCAAAGAGGCCG